GGTATTGGTGGAAGCACGACTCAGTGGCGAAGGTGAAGGAGTTGTTGGAGCGCGCCAAACCCAAGTGGGAGGAGATGATCCAAGTCCTCGAAGCTCGACTGCCCTGCACCCAGGATTTTCAAAGGGGTCAGTCGACATCGCCCCCCACTGATGCAGGTCCACGTTTGTCCGGCGCAGCAGATGCGATTCACACGGCGCCCACTGTCACTGATGTAGCTCCACGTTTGCCTGGCGCAGCATATGGGACTGACATGGCGCCCACCATTGCTCCATCAACTCCAGCGCCTGCTTTGAATGCACCCTCGCGGCCAAACTCGCCCATCGCAGCGAAACAGCAATCAGTGGTGGCCACCGCCACTGCTGGAGTTGCACCTGCTGCCCCTTCAAGTCCCACGGCGCCCAACACCGAAGGAGTAGAACTCACGCCGGTTGAGGTTGGCCCAGGTTCTCCACTTACCGCCATTGGATCTCGCCCCGCTTCCCCGCTAAGTGGAGATGAACGAACCATGTCTACTGGGCGCAAAAGGAAGGCTGATGAAGAGGTCGATGCGGACATCACCAGGAAGAAACCGGCCAGCAATCGGAAGAAGGGCCCACCGAGTGCACCTCAGCGCAGACAACCTACGCGTGGTAAGGCTCCCGATAGCGTCAATCCGGCGACAGCAGGCCAGTCGAGCAAACCGGACACCATCATCAAGGAGGACTTGTAAATAAAATTCGCATGGCCATACATATCTTGAAATACCCTACAGTAGCTAGGGTATAATAAATTTTTTGATGCAGTTATTCTTTGGCACGCATATGCTTTGGCGCTCTTTCAGCTCAACTGACACATTTTGGGGCACTGGCAAATTGAGGTTACTTGGGGCGCAAAGAAATTGAGGTTCCTACGCATTGGCGCTCTTACATGACAGGGTTTTGGAACAGCTTGGAACCCAAACCTTGTATTCGCAGGTGTAAGTAACATGTAGCTAGGTTGACTCAGGCGCCGGTGCGAAAACAGGTGTGGCACCTGAATCAAAGAAAGACTCAAAAGTGTGCAACGTTGAATCACTCCTTCCACCACTCTCCATGCCGTCGTCAATGACGCCCATGAAACTCTCTTTGACTTCAGTACAAGTCCAACCTCATATCCCAGGATCTTGATTGTCTTCATTACCTGAGCCACATTTGTGTGGAAATTCCATTATCCATTCATTGAACCTGTTGGGCCCACCCATTTGAAATGAAGACTTTGTAGGGCCCACACATTGAATTGAAGACAGTAAGTACTGCCAGATATGTCGCCCACCTGATGGCACAACAACGGCTTTGGTGCAAAGCTTGTTGCCTATATTTGGCGGGCGAGCACCAGTTGGGCCCAGCCATCACTAATGGACAATTTGTCGATGGGCATGGGTCCGCAGTGAAGTCATTTCGAATGAGCGCGCCCATTAATGGCAGGCGCGAGCGCCCATTATTGGCAGGCGCGCACCTGTTCGGCCCAGCCATCACTATGGAGGATATGTTGATAGGTGGGCCAAGTCCGCTGGCCCCATATGGTATGAGGTATTGTCAGGTTCGGTTAGTCCATTAGGTAAGGGCTAGGGTCACTGTCATATGTGTTTGTGCTCTGGTACCGTATTTTGTGATTGTTCCAATATTCAACAAACTTGTCGAGCTGATGTTGAAGAATTTGCGGCCAGATCCAGTTAAATAGCTGTCTGCGTATCTGGTGTTTAACTTGTCGAGTGCGACAACATGAATGAAACAACGCACGGGTGAATAGGATTGCCAGGATTATATATGCCAGTGACTTTCCCTTGTTGGATGACTTCCTTGATGTCAATGCCAAACAAGGTGACAAACCAATGCCATAACCCCTCGATCGGCGTGTTATGAACACTTCGGACATGTTGGGCTGGAGGAAACTGGTCGCTGTCGATATCAGGAGCATAGGTCTCCCTAATGGAAATAGAGAGTTTGTAAGAACGAGAAATCAAACAATATGTGGAAATTACCTGAGCCCAGTTTGATGGGCATAAATGTAGCCAGTCTCTGAGCCTTTATCCACGATGAAAGTAATACAAACCGCTTTAAGGATGCAGCGCCGTCAGCATATTGATTGAACTTATGACAATTGGTAATTACCCCCGTATTTCTTTACACAGTCCAGATAGACATGTCCAATAGTGGAGGCAAGCCGATTGTTGGGAAGAACGACAAGATGAAGGAGAAAGGAACTCCACTGATCCTTTATACCGTAGATATTAAGACCAACTCCACCCATACCCAAGGCCTGCGCGTTCAGTTTTTCGTGGCCATCGGCATGATGTTGGTGATTAGGACCAATTGCAACAAGAGCTGACCTTCGAACTCGATTTGCACCGGGGAATCGATGAGATAATCCATCTGGGGCATATGTTGAAAGGGTTTTGCGAATAAAATCTCTGAATAAGGGTTTCGTGAACAATTACAACCGACTGCAAGAAAAATTTACCGAGGAAGCAACATCCCCTCGTTGCTGAGTAGAGTGGAGATGGTACCCACTCCTCGTGTCTGTGCGGTATCCTCCGCTACCATTTCCAGTACAGCCTGAGTTGCTATGTCTGTTGGGGGAGGTTTTCACACATTTGGCACGCCAAATTTGAGATTTAGCTCGGCAAGGCGAGACTTTCTGTGACATGAACGATGAGTCAAAAGTATGATGCGGACAAGAACGAAGCGTGTTTACTTGATGTTGTGCCCATGTTCAGCGGTTAGCCTTTCAAGGCGTTGAGCATTAGTGAGGCGCTCCTTTGCGTATTGATGGAGGGATGCAGAGAGAATATCGTCTGGCGGATCTAAGTGGGTACAAAATGAAGATCAGCGAAGCCATGAGTCATATGGTCTGTCAAACATACAGTCTTTCTTGCCGTAACCGTTAATGCCAGTTGGATTGTTCGGCATAACCGTTGGATATCAGAATGGGATTTGGGAGGATGGTGTGCGTCCATTCCGCAGAGGGGCTTTTAAAGGTCAATTTAGGGGTCTAAACCGATAAAGCACTCATACGATAACAAGGCAGCTCATACGATAACAAGGCAACAGGTAATTCATTTCGAAGAGGTGGATACTTGTGCGAAGAATGCAGTCCCGAAGATGAAATTCTACAGACTACCGTAAATTACTCCTTCCCGTAGACAAAAATGTAAGGCAGCAGGAGTGAGCGTTTACTCTTTATCCAACTGATCTAACTCATCCTCATCCTCGCCTTCGCCTTCCGAGCGGCTTTTAGTTGTTACGCTCTTGCCAAAAGAAGTGAGGTTGAGCCCCTTGCACACATAATTACACGTATGCTGTTCCAAGAAAGATTCGATCCCCGTCGGTCCATGGTCTCCAATACCAGAATCACTGTGGCAGATTAGCATTAAGAGTAAGAAGAAAAATGATATTACATACAAAGTATGAGAATGTGACATAACGTCAAAGAGAACAAGGGTATCACGGCCATTAATATTCATAGGGGAGCCTAGAGTGTAGAATGGGTAATCTGGGTGGAAAACTCAGCGCATGAGGTACTTGCCTTGGATATCTGCAAAAACGAGTTGTTTCTGGCTGAATTCATAGGAGAAGTGGGCAAACGCTACAAGCGTTATTCCGACCTTGTCTGTATGACTGGGACGAATCAGAGTTCCACTAAATTTCACGACCGATTTTGTGCGGCGAGGCTCAACAAGCCAGGTTGCAGAATCCGTCTCGAAGGCCAGAAGACCTGAGGCAATAGACGGTTCACCAACCTCCTTTACCAAAAAGCCTTCAGAAACTACAATGTCTGAGTAACAAAATAAATAAAGCATAATGCGGATACCGAAAGACCTTTACCATTTGCAATCTCTACACTATTCGCCTTTGCGTGTTCCTTGAATTTGTTGAGCATCCAGAACACAGTCTTCAAGCGTACAAGCTCGCTTCTCAAATGTTCCTCGTTCTCAGCGGGCGTAATCTCACTATCGGAACCAATTTCGAAGAACCTCTTAGCGACGAAAAGCTCTGTGCCCATCGAAAGCTAGAAGACGAGACTCAGTCGTAGTCACACAGACAATTAAGCTCACGTCGCTCACTTGGTAAACGTTCTTGGTACTTCCAGAAGCCAGGACCTCCTTCCCTAGAAATCCATCTACGGGTTCTGCATTCTCAAGCCAAACAATTTCGACTTGCCCAGTTTTCGAATCACAAGTGGCGTACACTTTGATGAGCTGTACAGGCGCAGACACATTTGCGGAGGTAGACCGAGGTGTGGGGACCCAGCATGAGAGTAGAGAGCCTAGGGTTGATGTATTAGGACAAGATTCTACTGCCAAATCAAGGTATACTGACCACCTGCATGGCGCTTTTGCTGGGGGATGTCTTCACCAGTAAGCAATGTAGCTGTGGCACTGCGCTTTCGCACAGAAATAGACTTTGATATGTCAGGTGAACTGCCGCCATTGTTGCGCCGCTGGATAAACTTAAAACTAGAGTTAGCAGATTTACTTAGTAGGACAAAAAAGATGTACCCGTGGTTTATCGATGTAAAGCTCGAGCGCCATAAAATATTGGTTTTTCGGCGCAGTAGATTTCTTCGACCTGGCCTCATTAGACGCATAATAGAGGCCCATGTCGCCAGTCATATAGGCATTATACACATTTCCCACCTGGTCATTGACAGTACCAGGCAAGAAACGTTTATTGCCCGCCCAACGGAATTCAACCTCGTCCCTAATGAAGTGAGAAATTAATTTACGGTGACAAGGAAGGTCCACTTACCGTGTAAGTTCCATCCCATAGCGCCTGGACCAATGTGAGTTTAACGTCACAAGTGAGTCGTCAAGAACCTCTATAAACGATAGAATAAGCAATCGCTCCGTAAACTTGGCTAGACACATTACCTGTGAGGTAGTCTTCCTTTGACCATGGCTTGCCCCAGCGACCGCAGTCAGCGTCGGTTGAGTTTTGCTCTCGTTTCTGGTTGCTCTTGATGCGGCATTCGACTATGATGAAAACCTTGTTTTCGCCAGTTGGAGTGTTGTTGACTCGGGCAGTCGACAGTCCAGCGGTTGTATGAATGGCTGGAGGGTTCGGTGCGGGCTGTTTATTCAAACGTGCATCGAAGGCTTGCGCTCGAGCGAGTCGTGAGGTGGTAACAGCAGTCTGGATAAGGTCGGCTGCTTCTGTAAAGGATTAACATCATCAACATCACTCAGCGAACGTGGCCGGCCAATCTGGAAATGCTTACGGGGGTTTGGACCACTACCAGTTATTGTTTTGGCCAGTAGGCCAGCGCACCGTCCACAAGTGGGACTCACAAGATTCTTCCACACAAGTCCACAGCTATCGCACTGTCTCGTTTTCTGTGATCGTGTTCAGAACAGTGCCAGTGATTATACGAAATAAGACCTACACTCCAAGTGACATACTCCTCAGAGTCAGGCTCATCAGTAGAATCACAAAACCGCTTTCAGCCGCTTTCGCCGCTTTTGAAAGCGTGAAAGCGTTTCCGCTTTTGGAAGCCAAGTCCCTTTTCTTTCAAAAGCGGTTTCGGCTTTCAAAAGGGACAAAAGGGGCTGCAAGTGGTCCAAAAAGGGACCACGAAAGATACAGCTTTTCAAAAGGTGACTTAAAGAGGGTTTGAAAGAGGGTTCAAAGCAAATAGATTTCTAATATTTGTAAAACAATGGTGCTGATTACTACTAGAACGACGTGACCCTCCAGTCCATCCTCATCATGATCCGCTAACGCAATATCAAACTGTGGCCTGGAGAACCATCGCCGAAGTAGTCTATTGACGCCGAACACCTTCAATCAGCCCTAGGATATCGGCGTGCTTGCCTATGATAGCTTGAGCGGCATATTGCGCTGCAGCTTGTGAGGGGTCCTGGAAGAAGTGGATGTGCCGGACGAGTTTGACGTTGGTAATTTTGTGAGATGCAAGCATGTCGAGGAGGAGAGGCTGTCGGTTTCGATGGTCGGTATTTCTTCGTCAGCTTTCAAACCAAATCACAAATGAGGAGGACGAAGATGGTTGGGTATATGCAGGCCGTGAAGCACCTTCACGTGAACTGTGTTGGATGTGAGCACGGATGACGGCCTGGGATGGGTATTAGTTCTGGACTAGAGTAGAGCTCGGAAAAAGGTAGAAGAGGGGTGCGTGACAAAACGAGGGATGGAAATCGCCAGGGGAGAATGGCAGGGATGTGTAGGAGGGAGAAACGTCACAGGCTCCACGTGGGATGATGGGCAAAGAGAAGAAAGAGAAATGAAGCATAGCGTACCGTTTCCACATTCCCTCACCACCTAAATTCTGCGACTCGCCATGGCATTGAACGCTCGTCAACTTCCAGCACGCCTATGCCCGTTCCTGTACTATTGAGCTCCAATCCAGATGTTGACGACTGGGAAATCTCAGACTCCGATACGAGTGGTATAAGGACGTTGTTCAGCAGAGGTAACAAAGAAAGCCTTACCAAGCCCTCAATAGGCTCGCCGACGAAGCCTGTGTGAGCCCTCTGGCAATGGGGATAACCCTTGAGGACAGCATGTTGTCGGGGGGAGTGGTTATGGCGGTTGTGGTGGGTGATGAGCTTTGTGGATTGGCATTATGGTGCCCCCTGTAGCGTTGCTATGAAGGATGGCTGGTTGGCATGCAAGAGACAGCTGCGATTCAAACTGATCGTGAGTGGGAGTGTTTGTCGAGATGAGGAAGAGAACTTACAAAAAGACAGACGTTATACCCCAAGACTGGACGACGTCGACCACTAATGAAAAAGAATGGGAAGGGAGAGTGGTGCAATGTTCAAGGAAATAGAATTCGACATTATCACATGATGTCGGAGTTCCAACGGACTTTACGAATATTTTGTCCTCACTCTCAAATCCCTCCAATACCTTAGATTCCTCCAACTCTTTTTACGTTAATAAGTATGTAGATCATCATGCACACAAAGTAGCCTTCTAACATATATGTTGATCCACTGTCTAAATTCCTAAAGAGGTGAAAGCTGTTGAAAGCCAGAAAGCTATCACAAAGAGGTCTCAAAGTGGAAATGAAAGCGTCGTGAAAGTGAAAGAGGCCAAAAGTGAAAGTAAAAGCGCTTCTGAAAGTGAAAGAGGCCAAAAGTGAAAGTGAAAGAGCTTGTGATTCTACTGATGCTTTAGCGTAGCGAGTTTTTGGCACTTCGCGCAAAGTCCAGGTGAAGTCTTGAAGGGGAAGGAGCCTCTGCAGCCATCACCCGAATTTGATGTACAAAGGTCGACATCCATAGCGGTCGACTGAGACAGACGCAATGCAAAAGCTTTAGTGGGGCAGATAGAGATGGAGTTGGGGTTGGAGTTGGAAATGCCGGCAGAATTTATACGGCTTTCATGCAGGGTGAAGCGGCGCACTAGACGAACAGTGAGCATTCACAATTGTTCTTCTGTGAATCTCGAAACTCACCTCAAGAATTCCATCTCTGGTCTCGACGGTCTCTATTTGTTCTAAGAAAAGAATTTGGAAACATACTTACACTCAACGGGAAGATAGGTAACACGATGTCCGACCATTCTGAATACATGTCATTACTGGGTAGTGCTACTGACGGCGCAAGCACCAAATGGTACATTCTGCAGAGCAGTATGGATATGATCCTTTATTGAGGACGCCTTCCATAAGGTTGGCTGCTTGAGCGGCCACCTCACGGACGACAAGGTGCGAGCAACCTCCGAAGCGCGGGTGTGTGTTGTCCGGTAGAATCTCTTGACTTTCAAGCGCGAAGGCGTGGATACATGGTGGAACCCTGTGGCCCCGACCCCACCCTTTAAGAACCAAATATATCAGATCAATTGTTGGTGAGGATCTCGAGAAGAACATACCTATTCCATTGAAGGCTGTTAGACATACATGTCTAACTTCTTGTGCTACCTCTGTCATGCATCCCCGGCATCTGCAGCATCTAGTAAGAACATGAACTGAGTGACGGCCGTGGACAAATCACCGAACTTCAACGATACGGAATGTCTATGACAAGCAATGAGTAAAGTGATGCATTAGAAATGGTGGTTCAACTCACGAAGGCTACAACCAATGCCCCAATTCTCGTCACATCCTCAGAGGCTGCAATACAGCCTAGTCGCTTTCGCGTGTGGTGTTGGTTGTGGGATGATCTTCTCAGAATGCGGCGTGTCACGGTTGGCGGTGTGCTTGGTATCAGGTATGCAAGCGTTCACATGCTCACGTGGATGTGTGGATGTGTGATGCTAAACAGTGAGAAGATCAAAATGCAAATGAACCGTGGACATCCCACCAACCTTACTGATGTCCGTAAGCATGCATAGCACTGTGGTGCCGAAGGTTGTTTGTGCGAGGATATCGTCAGGCAAGAAGTCAAACTATTTACATGTCATGAGCTTTCATGAGCGATGAGAGGGGGTGATTGGAACACACCTTCTGTAGACTGCGTTCCAGTACACAAGCAACATCGTAAAGAATGGCGACGGTTGCACGATCCGGAATCAAGGTGAAGAGATGCTCCACCAGCGCTACCGGATATTTCTGCTGCTCACCTGGCGTGTCAATGTTGACAAGAAATAGTGGAATGTCATGGCGGCATATCAGCGCCATGACACCGCCGTCATCAAATTGTTTTGTGTTGGTTCCTTTGCCAGCGATGTGGCCACTCTCGCACTGATCAACAGCCTCATCAGGGACGAGAACAGGGCCACGACGTCGTTTGGGTCGAGCAGCATCAATCCGAGCACCAACATTATCAACGAACTCCTTGGGGAGAAAATAGGATGGTTCATAAAATTTGGGGCAATCCCCAGCAGACGCCATATGACGTTGACTGAAGTTACCGTCAGTGCTAACCACGAAGTCCGCCCCTCTAGATCGCATGGCTCAGACGTTGAGCTTCAGATGTAGTGAAGGGGGGTACTCACTGATTCCCGGTACGTCCATAGATGGTAGTAGAAAAGCAAGCAGGACATCGTTGTTGAAGGATTCTCGCACATTCGGTACGAGCGTTACCCACTTGAGCTGACAAACTGCCAACTAATCCAGCTCGCTGAGAGGGGGACTGAGGAATTGTATTCCCTGATCTGTATCGAAGGGAAGGAGATGGAGGAGATGGTGTCGAGAGTGACTGAGAAAGCTTCATATTTCTCGCCATCTCATCGGCTGACCTCAGGGCTTGTTCGACGATGTCGTTCACGTGGCCTCGCATGTTGTCGTACCACTGAACGGCGTGACCGATACAACGACGGAATGGATCCTTGACCACTTCCCTCTGTGCACGATAAGTAGAGCTTTGGCCCGAAAAAAAAAGTGCTACGAACCGCTGTATTTCGATAGTGAAAACCACGACGTTCATAATGTGTCTGAAGCGCACTTGCTACAGATTGAACGGCATCACAGGAGCATTCGAACAAGGCTTGATAGAAGTCGAGGAGTTCAATCGAAATTCCAACGCGAGGCTGCGTGGGTGACGTGGGAAAGAAACCATTGAGCGTGAATGTTTGGAGTAGGTCTTGACATTGACAAGAGACAACATTGACCCTTTCAAAATCTGTACAATCTCGTCAGGGTAAAGTTGTGAGATGATGAAAAATAGAGCGTACTACTCAACAACAAGCAAAGTATATCTGCCCTCTTTGTCTCACACGACGTAGGGTGACCACACTGAGATCTGACCTCTTTCGGCATCTCCCACTTTTTCCCCATCGTTGATGAAATGTGCGACGGAAGTGGATTGACGAGGGAGGGTAGAACGTGCTTCCACCGGTTGAAGAGCTTGTGCGAATCGTTGTTAGGCAAAACTCCACGCGCCTTGCGAGGCAGATCCATTGGACAGCTCGGCGTTAGATTGCTCGGTAGGTCGGTGTCGATTGGTACGTCCCCGTACGCCTCAAATTGATCATCGCCTTGAACAGGGGGTGGAATTGGCTCCACCTCCGTCATAGACTCGTCCCTGCGTGCCGTGTTGTGTAAGTTGCCCATCCGAGTCTACTGCAGCAGACTACTTACTTTTGGGATATCTGCTTTGTCGTATCAGGCCGAGTGTTTTGCAGCATCTCCAACTTCCTCCTTAGATCGTTTATCTTCTTGTCTTGCCCAAGATGCTTGGCAAGTGTTGTAGTTTTTTTCTTTGCGCGTCGCTTGCTTGGACTTGTGAACACCTTGCCAAGCACTCCCGTATACGGTTGCTCACTAGTAGCTGCCATTTACATCATGTAAAACCTGGCATGTACCATAGAAGTTCCTGCTTAACTACCGTGAATGAAATGAAATGAATTTTCATTCATTCATGGCACCTGTTTCATTCCAAGTCATTCTCATTCATTGCCGTCGAGAATGAAATACTTTTTGTTTCATTTCATTTCATTTCAATTTTTTCTTCATTTCTACTGACAAGAATGAAATTTATTCTGTTTCATTCATGCCTGGCGACTCTTTCATTTTTTTATTTCATTCCACCATGGCAACTGTTTCATTTTTTGCTTTATTCTTTCGTTTCATTCATTCCTGGCAACTGTTTCATTTTTTTCATTCATTCATTGCCATGGAATTTTCATTTCATTCTTTCCAGGCAGTTATTTCATTTTTGTTTCATTCTTTCAGGCAACAATTTCGATGTTTTAACACACATCTAAATAAGGAAATAATATACAATTATGCCTGATATGTGTTGTGCCCTACTGCAGTGGTGTGGGAGGCCATATGGGGGTACTTTTGCATTTGAGGCTCAAATACACAATGAGATAGGCATGCTGTTGCCAAATAAGGCACTTAAATATTTTGTATCAATTACATAATCATTTTCCCAGCTCTAACAATGAAATAGGCACCTGAGAAGAATGAAGCAAGGAATGAAACAGTTGCCCTGGTGGAATGAAAGAAAAAAATGAAACAGTCGCCAGGAATGAATGAAACAGAATAAATTATCTAGAATGAAACAGGTGCCGTGAATGAATGAAAATTCATTTCATTTCATTCACGGTAGCTAAGCAGGAACTTCTATGGTACAGCTCAGGAGTACATGATGTAAGTGGTAGCTACCAGTCGGTTGCTGAGAACGTTGGGGGCCACCCATGACTAGTAACGCAGAATGAGGCAAGGCGCTAGAATGGGGAGACCCGTGTAGGGATGAACACAAGATGAACGTTGAACTTAAGGAACTTAAGTGTGAGATACACGTTACCATTGTTTACGAACTGGCGCGAGTGGCTAGCGCTGCAAGGGCACTGCCCGACACTAGCAGTGTCGATGGCGGTTTTCAGTGCAATATTGACACTTTTCGGCGTGTGCCCTCAGTACCGTCAGTAGATCTCGCACAAGTACTCATACGTTACATTATAGTTCAATGGTACTCCACATGGTCAATTGTACCTATGTACCATAGAGCTACCCCAATGGGGCCAATGCTATCTAAACACTATTGAATAAAGTTGGGCCCAATGCATGCTTTTACCTTAAGGTGCGATGGTGTGGCCCAATTGTAAAATATCCCGCAACATTGGGCCCAATTGCTATTTAACACGTGATCATATGCTGGTCCGACGAAAAAGTAGGCCGAAAGATATATCCGAAGACAGGGGGAGGTCACTACTACGACGCCGATTTCTCCGCCTTCTCAATCCTTGCTTCGATCCGAAGCTCCTCTTCCTTCAGCATGATCATAGTATCCAACTGCCTCAACTGATCCTCTACGTGTGCCATTGCATCCAAAAGAGCATCTCGAGCTCTCAAACCCTCCTCATATTCCCGATTCAATACCCTGTGGGCGATTCGGGCGTATTCCAGTGGATTGGTAAGTCTTCCCGCATCAGGCAAGGCCATCTTCGGCTCAAATTGAAATCCAGCAGTTGACTTGAAAGCGGATTGCAACTTACGGATTGTTTATTCCACGAGGAGTGAGATTTCCCCCCCGCATTTGACGATGACGAGGCCACTGGAAGAGAAGCATGAGCGTCGATAGACGAGGTGGTGCCTTTGTTGTTGAAACCCTCGGCTGGGGTATGTTGTAGATCGGCTCGATCTGCGAGTTGTTTGAGCAAGTCGTCTGTAATGAAAAACTATCAGTAAACGTGACTTTGGAGTTTCGGCGACTTACCTGAACTTGTGGGGAAAGACATCAGCTGGCTAAGTAGAATGGACAATGCAAGATGCGGGTGTTCCAAAAGTTCCGAAACAAACGTGATGAATCCGAAATAGGCAATGTTGATTTTCGTTACTCCCACGGTGATTCCTTTATCTTCAACCAACATCCAAGTCGTGTTCCTCTCATATTTCCCTACCTCCACCATGCCCTCTCGCCTAGCTCAATTCCAATTTCCCCAAGGATACGGCGAAGCCCCGATGACAGTGTACCAAGCGGAAGGCATCATTGCCTCAATCCCAGGAGTCACCGACAAGATCGTCAACTGGTTTAAAGGGGAATACCCCCAGGCGAACTCCTCTGATAGGCTCAAGAAGGAGGTAATGATGCGGCAAATGATGGTGAGTGGCTTGGTAGTTATGAATTGCACCAACACTAACCCCTGGTAGCAATATTACATTAGTGCTCTGAAAACGACGGGGAAGGACAAAACCACCGACCTTGAACCCCTCGTGGTTCGAATTCTTCAAGAGGCCCTCCGAATTCAAGAGGGCTCTTTTAACTGGGCAGTTATCGCCGAACCCCCTGCTAAACCGATCTACAAAGATTTCCTCGCCGCATGGGATGCCCCCGGCGACGATGAGCCCGAAGTCGTCACCAAACCATCTAATCCTCAGGAGAATGCGAAGGGGAAGGGCCGTGAGACTGGGACACCCATGGATGAAACTCCGAAGCACACCACCCGAGGAGCCAAACGTAAATTGGAGGAGGAGGAGGACGCCGAGGTGGAAGGAGAAGAAGAAGAAGAAGAAGAAGAAGACGAGGAGGAGGGGGAGGAGGGGGAAGAGCAGAAGTGGGATGAGGGGCCGAAGAAAAGGTTGACGAGGGCGACGAAGAGAGTGAGGATCAAGTCCGCGGCGGAGGTGAATTCCGGGGATGAGGGAGGTGATGGTGGCAATCGTTCCACCCCAAAGCGGCCTCATCCAAATGGGGTTTGCCAGGCATGTAGGAATGCGGGGCAAGTTTGTCTCCTCAGTGTCTCAGGTCGAACTGCTTGTGACCGATGCAACGGGCAGAAGGAAAGGTGTAGTCTGACCAAGGGTAGAGGGGGTGAGAAAGGCGAATCGACAACCAAGGGTAGCGGTGAGAAGGGGGAATCCGCGAAAAAGGCTGAGCCGAAGAAATCGGGCAAGAAGCCCACCCTCCCCACGAAGCCCTCTTCGTCGGGATTGAAGCCGTCGGGATCCAAGTTGACTGGAACCCATCTTCTCGGGGAGAAGATGACGGTATTCAGCAATCCCAACTTCGAGGGGATTTCACCAATTCCACCGAAGTCGATTGGGGAGCTCGCGGGGGACAGGGGACAGTCTGAGCCAAGTGTCAGGGTGAGGAGGCGGAGAAGTGAATCCGTTCGAGAGGGAAGCATACGGCCTGGACATGACCAGGAAATTCCAAGTAAGTTGATTTTATTTTTTATTTCAAGTCGTTTATACTGTCAGCAGGAGACGCACTCCTGTCAGGCCTCGATGACGGGTCTAGCACCCCGCCCCAAATATCGGATCCCTTCACCGATCGGCTGGACAACATTTCGCTCCACCAAAGGCATCAGATGAGCGAGCTTGAAAGGCTCACGGTGAAGCTCCGGGATGCCAACTCCCGCATCGACGCATTTTCGGCTACGAGCCTTCGGCAAAAAGACACGAACATCGCTGAGTTGGAGCAACAAGTGGAGATCCACAAGGCGACCATCTCAGACCTCCAGCAAAAGCAAGACCTGACTACCAAGGTCCTGGCCGCGTTGTCGGCACACATTGAACATCTGGAGGATGCTGGAGGCGCGGTAGATGGGGGGGATGCGACCTTCGCCGTCGATCGAGGGCTAAACGAGATCAGGGGAGAGATGATCGATATGGAGCAGAGGATCGCGTCGGAGTACCAGGACAAGAAGGAAGTCGAAGCCGTGGCCTCCAATATGGAGGTCATCCTCAACACCTTCATCGACGATGTCAACAAAGACCTTCAAGAAGGTCATCGTAAGACTGCCAACATCGCCGGTCGCCTTTCTGAACTCAAACGCCGAAAGCTAGATGAGAGGATCGGCTGTGTAGAAGCCCTCAGCTTCGAGTTCCTCACCGCCGCATTTGCCCAGACGAAGGGTGATAGGGGCGAGTACGAGGAAAAGATGGAACGACGTCGGTGGGAGATGGACAGATTGGCTTCAGCTCCACGAGTCCCTACCGCCGGCCCGTCAAACGCCATGCCTACCGCTGGCCCATCGAAAGAGGTTCCCACCTCCGCTCCAGTCCCTTCGGCAACACCTGCCCAACCTGAGGAAGTCGACACCAGCGAGGACAAGTCAGCTCGAGTCATTGCTCCACTACCCCGACGAAATGTGCCTCAGTCGTCGGCTGGCACGACCGAAAGGTTTGGGGGCTGGGCTGGGCTATCGGCACCAGTCCCATCGATGTCCAAGTTAGAGTCCACACTGAAGGTAGCGGTTGATATTCTGACAGCTACTGGGGATGACAGGTACTCCTCACAGTTCACCAATGCCAAGGCTGACCATGCGCCAAGGAGGGAGACGCCGACGAGGGAGACGCCGACGATGAAAAACGTTGGCCCATCGTTGGATCCCATCACCGAAGCAGTCACTCCGAAGCCACCCAGTTCCGAGGTCATGAACTTGGTGGATCAGGGTGAGGACCAAGGTGACAACCAAGCTGATTCGACCAGGGAGCCGGAAGCTGAGAAGGGTGAGCAGAGCGAGGGGGCTTGAACTATCGCCGGCGGCATGGCCCCTTCTTTTTCTTCATGTCATATATATCATTTTGCGACTTCAATGTTTTTTCTTACCTTGTAATATTTTTTTGGTGCAATTTATGATCTTCTTTTGGGATGCCTTGGATTGGAAAGGAGGCAAGACAAATAGCACCGACAAAACTAGTGAATCCAATCCGACGAAGCCGTAACCAGTCTTACGATTAATGGCCGACGAAACAGTGGGTCCGACGAAATGCTAAATACTAGGCTACAATGACTAAGTCCCAGCTTTCCTTGGCCTCCCTCGGCCTCTCTTGGGTGGGTTCCCAGATCCGCCAGATGGCTTTCTACCTTTCGTCGGCTTCGGTTCAATTGTCTTCGCCACCTCAACTGGAAGCTTGCTTGGTGGCTTGGTAACCCTTTTTGAGGTTCCGGGTGCTTCCTGTTCTGCCTTTCGTTTTCTTGTCTGCATTCCACCCATTCCACCAACAGGCAAGGAAGTATTGGCTGGGCTCTCCGCCAGCCGATGGGTTGTGTGAGCAGCTGATGCCGGATGGCCTTCGTCGGATGCGATGTGCAGCAATCCCGGCGATGGCACTACTGCCGATGGCAACATCATTGATGGTGTAGCAGGCCTTTCAAAGATCACCGCAGGCCGAAGTAAAGGGACTGACTGTGGGGTATGCCGCATTACATCAATCATTTTCGGAACTTCTGGACCGACGTTGGCATCTCCTGATGGTCCGGCGGCGGCAAGCTGCCGAAACGAATCAAAAAGATCTTTGAGACGGGGTGTAGAATATTTAGCCATTGGTCCAACAGAACTATCGATATTCCTTGCTGGTAATGTGTAATCATTGGTCTTTGTTTGATTCATCTGGATGACTACATCCGTCGGTGCTGTAGAACGAGGAATATCAGCGTCGGCTATTGATGAACCGCCAGCCCCGATTGACGATGAAATCCACAAAGTTGCATCGGAAAGCGTGCTAGCCAGGCTGCTGGCAAAGGCATCTTTTTGGATGTTCTTTGTCCTTTCGTCGGAGGGTCTTTCATCGGAGGGAGAGGAAATGGCATTGAGCTGATTCGGAGCCGATGCGTGGTGATTTGGCGAAGATGCTTGCTTATCTTCGGTTAGGGCTTTGTCTCCTGCAACCAGAGGTTTATCGGTGATGGCGACTCTGAAATCGTCGGTGGCTGGATCATTCGCCTGTTCGGCAGTACCGCCTCCGACGGTACTGCCATTAGCTTGGAACAGGCCTGAGGATTCTGCCCAGCCCCGAAAGACTTGGAATTCAGTCTGGATACGGTCCGGCGACCAGCACTTGTATTCGGGTAGCTTGTTGGTGAAGGCCATCCAGAGGGAATCTGGTTCCTGGGAGGTTCCGCCAGTGTTGTTTTCCTTCAGTGGCCTGTCACCGAACTGATTGATCTGCTCGTCATCCGAAAAGGCGAAAAGGTCAACGCCATTGAAGTCAAAGTCTTCCCCACTGTCCAAGTCGGGTTCGTCAACAACCCTCGGCTTTTTGATTGGTCGAGGTTTGATCTTCTTTCGTGTAGTTGTCGCTGGAGATAGATCGTCATCGGAGGTAATAAAATCCACCGAAGCCTTCGACTTCTTCTTCGGCCGACCTTTGGCAGTGTGCTGTTTCCCCCTCTTCCGAGTCAAGTCGTCGGATGGTTTGCAGCCCTTCTTCGGAGGTTCGGCTTTGACGATTTCACCAGCATACATCACCAACTTCCACCGAAATGCTACCAAGCCCGATGATTGCCTTGCTAACCAAAATCGCAAAAGCTTTCGAACCTTAACAACCGTGAGATGCGATGGCTCCCTATCTATAGACTCGTAACCTGGTAAATATTCGGCGGAAATGAAGTCTTTCGGTGCGTTTATAACATTGGTCCAAGGAACACGCTGAGTTCCATCCTTGGTTGCCAGAGCTTCCGGCAAATCAGGTAGGCTTCCAATGGTAGGGGAGCAAGAACATACCGTAATGGGCACCGAGGTAAGACCGAAGCAGTGCCTTTTGCCACTTGATTGTTGCTTCTCCCGTGAGATCTGAAGGCCAAGTCACTTCTTCGGGAATTATCGGCTCTCCATCTTGATCCACGTCAAGTTCCATTAGGGCTCCTCTCGGCTGGAGACGTAGAATCGGCTGCTCTTCGGACATTTTATAAACCCTCTCCAAATACTTGCCCCAAGTTCTATCCGTTACAGGAGCATCATTAAACATATCCTTGTAGGCCGTGCCCCCTCCCAGCTCATTGTTAAAATCAAACCTTGCTGAGACGAGGCCCCCATCAGTATCCATAGACCCCCAGTAGATAAGGACCCATGCGCCAAGCTGTTTGAAACATTTTTCGGCGAAGGCTTTGGCGTACTTCGGGGCATGTTTTACAGACAGCCTGACATGGATAGATAAGTACTCGGACCATCAATGAGGCCGATGAATTCCTACCAATTTTTCTCCTCTTCCGGCGGTCCTGCGGCGTTCCATTTCGCCGCTGTAACCTTCAGCCCATTCAGCTCCTCTTCATCCATGTTTCCCAAAACATTATTCAACGCAGCCTGATAGCTGCCAAATTTTACAGGCTGGCCACCGGCGAGTTCCACTTCTGCTTGCTTAATTTCCTCTTTCTTCAGCAAGGCAGCCACGGTCCGAAAGTTCCAATTGACGCCCCGAATTTTGTATTGCTTCGGCTGCCGAACTTTGGCCTTGAGACCATACCACTGCCGCATTGCCTTAATTCTGAAGTAAGCACTAAGGTAATTGCCGTCCAGGATCTACATACCTTGCGGAGACCGGAGACATCTGAATCGGGAATGTCCCTCTTCGACTGCATCCTCCGAAATGTCTTGTTCAACAGAGCGGTCCTTTGTTTGACAGTTTTGTTGGCTTTGTAAAATGGAAGATAGTGGTTTAAAATTTCAGTCTGCCACGTCTCCCAGACATACGGAGCTGCCGCAGTGTATTCGTTGGTTTCAACTTCTGGGTCAGAGAAGTCTTCCCCAGCAGCAGAATCAGAAGCATTCGGTATCAGAGAAGTTGATGAGGATGTAGCCATTGGGTATTTATCCGGGGAGATGGTCGTCCAATAAAGGATAATGTTCTTGCCACGTCAAGAGGGATGAACCAAACAAACAAAGGCGCGGTTACTGGATTAGTCCATGTTGTTGCCAAAAGCAGAATGATTTCGATGCAAATTCAATGCAAAGCATTATTCAGACTGCTAACACAAAAGCATTCCTCGGACAGATCTGTCCTCGAACAGATATTCTTATAAAAAGCATCCACCACCGTAATAACTCCATGAGAAGTGAGAAGATCAGTCTATATTAATTATTGAGACTTCTATCCCCTCCATCAGATCCTCAGATTGTTATATAAACTATACAACATCTGGATCATGTTCCCAGAACATCCCAATGGCCTCCAACAGACGTCGCAATGTCATCGGCTCCTTGAAGCATCTAAACTTCGTCGAGAACCGGAGAGGCTTCCGACCCGTCACAGTTTTTCCTCCAAACGAGGTCTCACCCTCTCCTTCGCAGTCTCCCTCAAAGTCTCCAACCAAACGGCATACCGCATTACCAGCATCAGAGTTAAACTCTGAGACCAATGGCCAAGAATACATGGAATTTACACCAAACATATTTCCAAACCATGGAAGCAGTGTGGGTTATTGTTCAAGCTTTGAAGTAATACAGCTAACCGTTGGAACAGACGACTAATGATTATCTGAGAGGCTGGGAGAGACGTCGTCGGATTTATATTGATGAGGTACTCCGACGGGAAGCACCACCAGAAGGCTTAACTTGTGAAATATGTCAAAGCCGGGTAGCAACCTGGAGATGTGGCTGTTGTTTGGGCAGTCCAGTATTATGTACTGACTGTTGCAGGACTACTCATAGACGACATCCCTTTCATAGAATTGAATACTGGACGGGGGATTACTTCTCACCTTCTTGGTTATGGAAGGCCGGATCAATTTTACATCTCGGCCACAATGGTGTACCCTGTCCCGGGAAACGGTGGGATGCATCGGACACAGATTGTATTAACTGCGAGGGCTGGAACCAGGAGGTTATTCAACCTGAGCAATTGGAGGTGACAGAACCCGACGACGAAGAGGTAGACTATGAGGATGTTGCCGACGACACTTCCCAGGGCCTTTACAATGACACCGAAGTTCCTGACCCACCAGTATCCACAATTGATGGAAATCGAGTACTTACCTATGTCCATATCAATGGAGTCCATCAGCTTCCAACGTCCTTTTGCACATGTGCCGGTGCACCATCCGAAGAAATACAACTTCTACGGATGGGTCTCTTTCCATCCACCTCCGATACTCCTCGAACGGCATTTTCTTTTCAGGCGCTTGACGACTACCTTTTGGAGAACCTCGAATGCAAAACATCGGCACTTCATTACTTCTCAAAGCTTCAGCAGATGACATGCAAAGCATTTCCCAACCTGGTGAAGGTACAGGTTTTGTCCTCAGAAGATTGGCCTGGCACTAACCCTATGTTAGGATCGATATCGCGAGCTATTGCGAGCTAGCCAGCAATGGAGGGTTATTAAGGAGTATAAGTGGTTTGGCTTCGGGAACAAAGCCGAAGATCCAAAGACCGGTGACCTGGCTCTCTTTTGCGCCGCATGTCCCCAGCCTGGGACAAATCTTCCCGATAATTGGAAAGACGACCAGGAACAATGGCCGTATACACGGGGATTTGTGCTCGATGGCAATTTCACATGTAATCACAAAGCTCAACGGCACCCTGAAGACGACGTCTGGTTAAAATCCGGTCAGGGCTATATGGTAGAAAGAAGCCGATATGCAAACCATCTGGCCACAGCTCCAGAGATTAAAGAAGTGCGGTGACCCTAACCCTACACCTTTTCCCGGGGCTGATGAAACAACAGAAACCGACTTGCAATGAACATCATGCCGTGAACGATAAATCAAGAATTCACAAAGGATGTGATTCGACTGGCCTCGGCGCCGCTGCTTGCCTACGGCATGGCTGCTATTGTCCAGGGGCTGTGGTCGATTTTCAGAAGGGGGAACGGTAAGTTTCGGCTGTTTATCGGATGATGTTACATTGAGCCATGGCATATCAGACAGATGAATATTGATTACGCATTCTGCGAAGCGTTGAAAAACACTGGCGCATCCGAGGCTCCCCAATGCCTCGTCGTTTATGACGTTAACTGCCAGTATTTCGTAAACTTCCGAAAGCGGGTGGAAAGGTCTCCGTTTCTTGAGGTTCATCCCGGGCTAATCATAATTCCTGGTATCGGCTTGTTTCACATTCACGGACATCAGCTTGTCTGTCTTGCAAGGTTCTCGCCAACTTTTATTATCGGCGGAGGACAATCAGATGGTGAAATATTGGAGACGTTATGGTCCACTCTCAATCACGTCGGCAGAATATCAAGAACCATGACCCTCGCTCATCAGACGGAGGTCTTGGATGCCCACATGGGTGACAACAACTGGAAGAAACTGGTTAACATGGTATCATCGCTTTGTAAAAGATGGAAGCGAATTCAGAAGGCACTTCCCGAGGCCGAAGCAGAGTTGCAAAAATTATCGGAGACCGCTTCCAAAGAGCAGTTGAACGATTGGGATTCACAAGAAGACGACGCACAGGCTCGCCGAATTTTGGATCCGTCGGCCATGGATATATATGAAGCCAAAGCCCCGAAATGTTTGTCACCTTTCGTAAACCCCAGGGTTAGGGTTAACTAATGGTAATTGCAGTGCCGACACAGAAGGAAGTACAGGCTGAGTTCATGGCACAAGAACAAGGTCTCCGGCAAAATGTGGGACTCTCGCTTTGGGTTGGTACGGGGATCAAACTTCAAGAAACCCAGTACGTTACTAGTTATAATAACTAACATGGTCTGCTAACCCTACCGTAAGGCTTACCCTCAGCCGATTCGCCAGGCTTATGGGCAGGAAGCCGACGTCGGAGCAGAAACTCGAGCTCGCACGTCGTCGGCAAAGATTTATAAAAGGGCTGGACATATTCGAGCAAGAGGCGGTAACATTGTATCTGGAGATAAATCTTTCCGATGGTTTTTTCGTCCCACCGACGATGGACGAGTATGAGCATGACGAGGACTTCGAGCAATTAAAGGTCAACCCACCTCAGAATGATAATAGCCTCCCCGAATATAGAGAGATCATCGTACCTTCCAGCTTTGCAACTCTCCCTCAAACGATGAAGGGGGCTCGCCTACGAGAAATTGACTTGCGGGTCGCACAAGCTAATGATGCACTTGCATCTATTTGGCTGGACATCGGGCACAAGTCTTTTATTTACCGAAAAAAGATCAACACCGAAGAAAGCAAAAAGGGAAAGACCCGGTCGTATGATCAAGTCAATGCCATTGACAGAAATCTGGCACATCACCTCCGAGTTTATGGTCAAGCCCGATGGGCCTTACAGCATCTAGCCGCATCGGAAGACATTTTATCCTGTTTCAAGGAAATCAAAAAGGCTGATACTCATCTCCTTCCGAATATATCTCACCCCAATAAACCTGGCTTTCGGAACAAAGATATCCCCTGGTTTTGGGGGTTCAATATACACGGTGATTCGGAGAATGATGTGCATATGGAAGAATGTAAGTCATTGCATTCATTAAATATTGTTGTTATTTATCTGCTATGAACTTCGGCAGTATATCGGGTAAACTATCTTCGGACCAAAGCGAGATATCACTGATGGCTGGAGGAATCGAAGTTGGTTCCGATGGAAATGAAGTGGACGATGCGGTATTTTACGAAGCGGGCAGTATATTGGGAAGGTCTGAGGGATCTAAGCGCCGATGGTAAGCGCTGCTATGCTTCCCGCCAAGCAGCCATGTGGCGAGGATTCCACGTGCAAGCCTTATCGGAATGTCAACTTTCCGGCGCTATTTAAAGTCATTGTTGTTATTTGTTTGTCGGCTTCTATAAGATCGATGAAGCACTGCATTCGATTCTCTTATCTCAACATGCTCTTTACCCCCCGCCAACTGAAGGCCATGGAACGAACCCGCCCCATGCAGATGTTAGTTTATATCACTAGTGGCTACCACATTATTTCTATAACCTAGACCCAAGCCTAGAGGGTCATTTCTATAACTTAGACTTAAGCCTAGAGGCCATATCTATAATGCTTAGGATTTTTTGAAAGGCATTTCAAATGTAGGCCTGGGTATTTCATAGTGAATTTTCCATAGATACCCAGCGCATTTTCTGCGAAATTTCAAATGCAGCCCTGGATATTTCATTGTGATTTTTCAATAGAGACCCTTGGTATTTCATTGCGATTTTTCAATAGACACCCTGGGCATTTCATTGCGATTTTTCAAATGTATCCCTGGATATTTCATTGCAAAATTTCAATGGATACCTGGCGCATTTCATTGCGATTTTTCAATAGATACCCTGGGTATTTCATTGCAAAATTTCAAATTTAGTCCTGGGCATTTCATTGCGATTTTTCAAATGTATTCCTGGGTATTTCATTGTGATTTTTCAATAGATACCCTGGGTATTTCAGAATTTCAAATGTAGCCCTGGGCATTTCATTGCAATTTTTCAAATGTAGCCCTGGATATTTCATTGTGATTTTTCAAATGTAGCCCTGGGCATTTCATTGCAAAATTTCAAATTTAGTCCTGGGCATTTCATTGCGATTTTTCAAATGTATTCCTGGGTATTTCATTGTGATTTTTCAATAGATACCCTGGGTATTTCAGAATTTCAAATGTAGCCCTGGGCATTTCATTGCAATTTTTCAAATGTAGCCCTGGATATTTCATTGTGATTTTTCAAATGTAGCCCTGGGCATTTCATTGCAATTTTTCAAATGTATCCCTGGATATTTCATTGAAAGGTTTCAATGGATACCTGGCGCATTTCATTGCGATTTTTCAATAGATACCCTGGGTAGTTCATTTCAAAATTTCAAATGTAGCCCTGGGCATTTCATTGCGATTTTTCAAATGTATCCCTGGGCATTTCATTGCGATTTTTCAAATGTATTCCTGGGTATTTCATTGTGAATTTTCAAATGTATCCCTGGATATTTCATTGAAATTTTTCAAATGTATCCCACATGTCAGGGTCCATGCAATGGGCTTCCCTGGAGGGTGGTCACATGACCAATTACGAAAAATGGTCAAAAAACGAAAGTTGTAGCCCTGCACTGTAGCTGCCCGAATCTTTTCAAATATAGCCCTGGGCATTTCATTGCGATTTTTGAATAGATACCCTGGGCATTTCATTGCGATTTTTCAAATGTATCCCTGGGTATTTCATTGTGATTTTTCAAATGTATTCCTGGGTATTTCACTGCGATTTTTCAATAGATACCCTGGGCATTTCATTGCGATTTTTCAAATGTATCCCTGGATATTTCATTGTGATTTTTCAATAGATACCCTGGGTATTTCATTGCAAAATCTCAAATGTAGCCCTGGGCATTTCATTGTGATTTTTCAAATGTATTCCTGGGTATTTCATTGTGATTTTTCAATAGATACCCTTGGTATTTCATTGTGAATTTTCAAATGTATCCCTGGATATTTCATTGCAATTTTTCAAATGTATCCCACATGTCAGGGTCCATGCAATGGGCTTCCCTGGAGGGTGGTCACATGACCAATTACGAAAAATGGTCAAAAACGAAAGTTGTAGCCCTGCACTGTAGCTTCCCGAATCTGTTTGAATTATGTTCTGAAGTGCTCCCGTTGTGGAGATATTAGGTAAAGGAATTTCAAAAGCATCGTGTTTTTTTTTTTTTGTGTTTTTCTCTATAAAAACAAAACCAAATAACATGATTTCAGTATATTCAGAAAGCTAAAAGAAAGGGCTACAATTATTGTATCGTGGGAAAAATGACCAAAAAAGGAAGGTGCATCCTGTACTATAAGAATCAGATATAGACTACCAAGTTTACTGATAGACTACAAAAAAGTCGGACTTAGACTACACAGTTTACTGATACACTATAAAAGACTACAAAAGTCGAAATTAGACTACAAAGTTTACTAATACACTACAAAAGACTACAAAAGTCGAACTTAGACTACAAAAGCATGGACTTAGACTACATAGTTAGGGTTAGAGTCAAAAGGTTATCTTGACTACAAAGTTTGTAGTGTGCGCTTTTTCATTAAAAAAGTTTGTAGTGTCCGCTTTTTGAGACTACAAAAGTTGTAGTGTTGCGCTTTTTCATTAAAAAAGTTTGTAGTGTCCGCTTTTTGAGACTACAAAAGTTGTAGTGTTGCGCTTTTTCATTAAAAAAGTTTGTAGTGT